GGACCCCACTATATTTTCCACTGATGTTCAGACCCAACCTGGATCCCTCTGTCTCAGATGGCATAACCTCTGCCATCATCCTACGTTGCAAATTCCCTAGGCCCCTTTCCCTCTCAGGAATGGCCCCCTCTGGAACCTTTAGCCTTGCAGGCCCTGGCCTTGCTTCTAGGCCAGTTGGAATTCCAGGCCTTTAGCTTCAGGCTGTCCCTCATGGTGGTTGTCCTTGCCCTTTGATCACCATGTTCCTGGCCCCAGCATGGGCCAGTAGAGGTTCTCTGGCTAGGTTTTCAGGCAGCTATCCTTCTCTCCCATACAGGTCAGCCTTCTTGGGCCCTTCCAAACACTGTCCTCACTCTCTGAGCTTGTGGGCCCCTACTCCACCCCCTCACTGGGGCTCCTGGGCCTTACACCCCTTGGGCCTCAGGTCTCTGATGAAATGCCTGGACCCATAGCCTGTCTCTTCTACGGGGTTACCCACCAGGTTGTGGGGGCTGAGGTTATATGGCACCCAATCCTCGCCTTTCACTGGGGAGGCGCAGGTGTGGCATTTCCTAGAGACTGCCCCACCACACTATCCAACCCCAGCAAAATGTAGTTTTAGGTCATTCCCCAGGACCAGGAACATCCTCCTTCCCCATAGTTCCTACCCTGGACCTCCAGGCTGTTCTGGGAGTAGCAGATCTCTAGCTAGGTGTTGTTCATTGTTTGCGTCCCTGCAGCAACTGCCAACTCAGCTCCTAGGGCTTGGGCTTAGACTGAGGCTGCTCATTCCACCTCCAATCCATGGGCCCTCTTGCAGTCATTTGATTGCCTAACTGGGCCTCACCGCACCTGCCAGATGCTCCACAACCTGCTCAAGTCTCTTAAAGTGACAGACACAACCTGTGCTCTGCCACACTAAGAAATCTTCTTTTTATAAACAATCTTTGCAAAATAGCAGAACTGCAGGGCAGGAAGTAAGAAATGGCTGGGATGTAGGATATGTTACAGCTAGTTCACTAATGTGGCAGCTGAAGGAGAGCCTTTGTTGGAGTCCCATTAATAGGGACCTACCGATTTCATGCTAGAAGTTGGCTGTGCAGAAGCTCCTTTAATCTTGCAGGTTCCCCCACATGCCCCTTCCCCCTGCCAATTGGTGGAAGGGCTCTGCCACTTGCTCCTGATCAGCAGGGAGGCAAGAACGGCAGTTTTAAATATGACACCATTTTTGCCTCTTGGCCAGTCAGCGACAAGCAGAAGGGCCCCAGGGCCCCTCAGACAATCAGCAACTGGGGAGAGGGGGCGTGGGGTGTGTGGGGGAACCTGCAAGATTAAAGGAGCTGCTGTGCAACCCACTTTCACCATGAATTCAGTAGGTCCTTACTCATTAAGTATGAGTATAGGCATTTTTTTCCCTTTATCTATCAGAGTACTTACATGCATTCACAAGTTTTTCAAGGGGCCTACAGACTAGAAAAGATAAATGGGGTTACACAGCTTATACCTCTATGAGTACTGCAGTTAATGCCATTTATGTATAGCAGGAAGTTAGAAATTTAATTGATGATCGACATTACTTTGAGGGCCACGCCTTTCAGTGTCAGAGACAGTAAGTTTCACACGGAGTTGCACTCAAATTTAAAACATTCAATTAAAAACAAACAAAATAAAGAAGAAAAGAAACGTAATGCATCCAAATCTGATCCTACAATCCCTTATTCCTAGTTTCAGTTGAGCTGCTTAAAACAAATATAAATAAGACTGAGGCACTACAACAGATAAACTATCTAAAAACTATTCCTAGCAATGACATGATGAAGCTTTGCCTTTGTTATCATCTATAATCTGTTTGTGTGACATGCAGATATAAAAGTATTGAGACTGAGTGATAGGATGAGAGAAGAAAACCCCCGCTTAATAAATTTCTTCAAATTCAGTAATATTTAAAAGGTGACCGAATATCTGGAAGTACTATATTTACAATATTTTCATCTAAACAGAACATGTTTCATTTCTGTATAGTTAGAGTTTCTTCAATTAAAATAAAGAGGCCATATTATAATGTGTAGTGTGTTGCTGTAACATTCTATATCTTATGACTGAATGAAGACAACTGTAGCACAGAATTCTGAATTCAGGAAGGGCACTTTGTCCAATATTATGTCCAAGTCTAATATCCAGGTGGTGCAATGAAAGATCTCCCCAAAAAGCCGTGTTTCTCACATCATTTCTGGACAATAACAGCTATTAGTAACACTGCAATCCTTTTATTTGGCAATTAAACTAACCTGGTGCTTCTTATAGGCCCCTGACAGATGTTACACTTAAGATGTGATTAACCAGTTAATTGCATCTTAAATAGTGACCTGGCCACATGTTCAATCAATTAATGGCGTGATTACATGAGGAATAAGCCACAAATGTGTAATAACTTTGTGGCTGGTTCTTATCATGCCTTTAATTAAATATGTGACCAATGCCTAGCCTCTGCAGCACTTGGAAGCCTTTCAAGACTGCCACATGCTCCAGAGACTGGGAGACCCCTAATCTGAATCAGGCTCACAAATGAGGGAGCACAACATGCGCTCCCATGCCTGGGAGCCCCAGTTAGCTGAACAGGGCTTCTGGCCAGTGGAGCATACTGTGTACTCCTGCAGCTGGAAGCCCCATCAGATGATGGAGGCTTCTGGCCATGGGAATTCATGGCGTGCTCCCCCAGCTGGACGTCAGGCTTGCTACTTGCCAGCGTGCAAAAATGGCACATGAGATCTGATGTGGAATCACACAGTCATCATGTCTTGCCATTCTGCTATGCACATGTGGTATGGCTTGGCAGGTAGTGTGATTGTTGGGATCCTGCATCAGATCCCATTGTGCCTTCATTTTAATGTCTGTTGGGGGCATAGGAAGCTATCTGAAACAAGAACAGATTATTTTCTCCTTGTCTGCTATGCAATATGGATGTTACTTGCAGAATTTTGTAGCGCTTGTGTGTGTTCTTGCAAAAACTGAAATTTTTACGAGTGAAATTAGTAAATGCGATTCATGGTTAAAATACAGCCTTTCATGGCAAAATTCTGCCCTGAGCAAAATAATGCATTTGGTTCAGGTGATTTCATGCTAAAGAATTTTTGTAGGAAGCTAAAAATGTTGACATATGTATGAAGCACCTTTCATGTTCCCCTAAAATCTGAAGGCAAAATTGAAAATGTATTTTGATTTGTAGGGCTTTTTTAGTAATTACAAATGTTATTTTCATGTGCTACTTAGTTATATTTCAGAAAACATTATGTACCAGCTCTGAAGCATTTTGGTAGTCCTAATTCTCCTGCATTTTGGTAGTCCTAATTCTCAATGGTAAATCCCATTGTGATTTCAATGAGAACAGCAACAGACATGCTTAGTGTTTTATTTCTAATAGCTGAAAGCAGGTGTTCATTGTTTGTTCACTACTGGCATTTACGCTACTATCTGCCTTTCATAATTAATATTTTGGAGTTTGTAAAAGCCATAGCAAAAAGTGTATCTCATTATTCTATCATGGAAACTATCTGCATGTAGAGTACCAATATGAAAATAGTACATTGCGTGACTATATTGATAAATAGCCTATCAGGTGACCAGCCAACTGTCTTTTTAAGTTCTCTATCGATTATTCCTGGAGAGCAGTCAAAGTTTCCCCGTGTTTTATTCATCTTTACATTGACAAAATATACATGTGTATGGAATGATATTTCCAGGTTAGTTACTGAAGCTATGTATAGTTCTTGAGTTTATTAGTGTACCCTGATATCTTTAGTGTGTCATTTTGCTGGGTTTGCATATTACACTGCAATTTCAGGTTAATTGCTATGACTTTATTATTATTGTCTTCTCCTAACTGAGACAGCACCCAAAACCACAAACACTGGCTGACAAATATGCATAGTTGAAGTTTTGACCTTAGCCACATGTGTGTGTGTTTAAATCCCTCACAAGCATGCTAGTGCCCACACACAAGTGAGTTTTAAACCCTGAATTTCCTTTTCAACAGATAGATACTGTTTGTTTCCTTTTTAGCATCTCTCTCAAGTTTGATGACAAAAGCCAGACTTACAAGTTCCCCCTTCTGGTTTTCCTGCATTAAAACATCATTGCACTGTTTGGCTTGCAGGGAAATATTTAAATTCAAACAATCTGCTTCCTATAATTAATTGTTCAAAACATTTCAGAGGATATATTATTATTACCTTTAGGCATTTTTTTCTGTTTCTAAATCCTAAATTTATACCTGATCCACCTGGCAATATCCTTTCAAAATAAAGTATGTAGAACTCTTGGTGAATGTTACTAATTATTTGCAAATTTTATACAAGATAGAAGCTGCTAGTCCTTAGCTCTCTACCTTGTATTGAGTTGTACTCATTTTCAAATATTACACCAAATGACTGTGTCTTTATGTAATATGTTCACACAACGGAATGCTAAAAATAACATGTTCTTCAAGGAACATCTCAATCCAAGAAAGAAAGAGTCAAGGGGCTGGGATTCAATTAAAACAGCAATTATTGGTAACTAAATGCCACTTGATTTACCATCATCTTGGCACACCACACAAGTGTGGTTGGCATCTCCTCTTAAAACAGGTTTATATTCTTTTGTACCAGCTTATAGAAATTTACTCTCCAAAAGGTCAAGTATAAGTAAATGCAGAGAAGTAAGTTTCCCATTTTATCATTGGCCAGTAAGAGAACAGAAATTTTTATTTTCTGTGGAGTGGAAAGGCTGATATGATCAAATGGATTTATCAGGCTGTTTGCTTTGGGCATGATCCAATGTCAAAGTTAATAGAAAGACTCCATTTGAGTGGTCTTTGGATCAGGCATTCCAAATTCACAATCAAAAACATTGAGCTTATAAATGCACCAGCATTCTTGGATTCATAGAAAATTAAAAACATTTGGTAATGCAATAGATACCTGACTTTAATTGCTACATCTTGTATGTTGAGAGGAGAGTAATTTTTTTCTTCTTCTTCTTAGGTGGCTATTGATGAACGCATCAGGCAATTGCATGATGCTCACAGGGATTTTGGCCCTACCTCTCAGCACTTCCTTTCCAGTAAGTCATTATTTATTCTTGCCTAACTTGCATGCTGCTTCTTAGAAGATAAATAGCTATGTTACGTGGCCATGTGTCAGCTAGGATTGCTGTTTGGTTCTACTCTTAACCCCATTACTAGGCGTCTACTCAATTTGCGATTTTGCAGAAACTGTGAAATCCAGGGATTGTTCATGAAATCTACTTTAAAAAAAAACTCAATAAAAATATAATGCTGGCTCCCCAATGCAAGCCAGTGGTCCTCACTGATGCAGCCTGGCCTCACAGCCCCTCCCCTCCGGGGGGTGTGGAGTGGGAGGTGCCAGCTGGCAGGGTTGCATGAAGATCAATATATAAGATGGTGGCTACCCCCTTATCCCTCCTTCCTCTGCCGGGGCTTCACCAGTCAGTGCCAAGGGGTGGGCCTGCATGAAGAGCAGCCAACAGACAAAATGGCAGCTTCCCCCTTTCCCTCCTCCCATGCTGGGACCACACCACCGATCGGCACTGAGGGGCAGGGCTAGCAGATCACATCCAAACGATATCTGTGAAATTTGCTCTTTATGCTGTGACCAACGTGTGAAAATTGTTCAGTCTCACCGTGATTTAAGGAGATCACTACCCATTACCAAAAGTTTTATAATTCCACAGTAAAGATTTATTGTGGGTTAAAGAATGGTATACAAGTTCATAAAATCCAGTCATAATGAGAAACATCTACCAGTATAAAGTCCACTTGGCTATTGTTATCAGTGCAAAGGTGTTCCTACGAATTATGCTACATGCTTTCACTCTAGATTGAAAGTTCTCAGTGAGGATTATTGCCAACTCATTAAATAAAATACAGTTTGAAATAAATATTATCTATATATGCCATTTCCTGTGCATACATCATAAAGATGTAATATCTAGATGCTAGTAGAAGCAAGTACAATTTTTGTATTTGTGCTTGTGTAGTATTAAGCCACCCATAGTACTATCAAGACAAAAACTCTATACTAAATATTGACACTACTTCTGGTATTACAGAATTTCTTGACTACAGTAAAGATTAGAACTCTTCTAAAGAAAACCCTGCTTTCAGCCTGCAAGTGTTTTGCCCTAAAAAAAAATCACTCTACTGCTATAAATAGCTACAAAAAGTAATAAACCACAGTGTCCCTCAGAATATGCTGATTGTGCTATTGGGAGTTAAGAATAAATGTAGAGGTGAGCAGATACCCACCCTCATTGAGTTCTTTCTAGTTTCTGCTCACATTCTATGACTATGGGGGGTTAGGATTACTACATGCCAATTCTGGATGCTAGTTCAATGAAATTGACTGTTCTTATGGAAAAAATTTACAAGGCTGAAAGCGTTTAAAATATTAAATTGTCTTGTTAATTAATTTTGCTAAGCTTTATAGCAGCATTTCTAAACCAGGCAGCCTAATGTCTTTTTAACCCAATCCCCTTGTGAAAGTAACCCGTATATTTCTTTAGATTTTTGTTCACAAATTGATGTTATTTAATCATGTTATTATAGATTCTCTTCATTATTGGGATTTTAAAAAATCAAGGTAGGAATTTTTTATCCCTAAAAGATATGCTTTAGTTCAAAAATAAATTAATTTAGAGAAGTCATGTGGCTTGTGTTACACAGCAGGTCAGACTAGGTCATCAAAGTGGTCCCTCTGGCCCTATAACCTATGGAAAAAATGTTATTATTTCTGTTATGATGTTACTCATATATTACTGCTAAAGTAGATTATTGTCAGTCCTTATTTCATGTTAATTTCTTTACTTTTAGACTAGGATGTTTTGGGAAGTAAGTTCCAATCCCTTCCCCTGTACTCCCAACTGCTTGCTTTTCTTATGGTGTATGAGTTATATTTGACATCAAGGTATTAATGTGAGAATTTGTACTTGGCAAGTATTTTTGTAATATTAAGCATAAGTTTGGATAGAGCATGGCTCCATCCAGGAAGGATATAGAATACACCCATTTGAAAGTACCCATAGCATGCTTCTACATGAGATGCGTTAATGAGTAGTAGCCTAATTTAATGAGCATTACAGCCAGACATCTGCACATGCATGCCCTTAATGTGCATTAAAATGGTGAAGTTAGGCTAAGAATGCCTAAATTTAATACCTGCAGATGCTGAAAAAATTAGGGTTATTTAGTCTGGCGAAGAGAGGACTAAGGGAGAGGGTTGATAACAGTTTTCAGATACCTGAAGGGTAATTACAGAGAGGATGAAAGTGGGCTTTTCTCTGTGGCTCTTGGGGACAGGACTAGGAGCAAAGGCCTCAAGCTTCCACAGGGAAAATTTAGGTCAAAGATTGAGAGGAACTTTCTGACTATGAGCATGGTCAAGTATTGGAACAGGCTACCTAGCGAAGTTGAGGAATTTGGAAATTTGGAAGTCCTTGAAAGCTTTTGAGAGCATGTTAGACAGACACTTGGCTGGGATTGTTTAGTCTTGAGCAGAGGCCTGGAATAGATGACTTTGTGAGGTCCCTTCCATCCTTACTGTCCTATGATCCTTAGAGGGGCAAGTAGGGCTCACAAGGAAAACTTTTCCTATTTGGAGCCATGCCTAGTTTCCTGGTTCAGAATGGTGGTAAGACAAGCAAAACCCAGAATGGAGAAGAGCAGTTTTTAAAAAACTTCTCATAACTTGATTGTTGCTAACTTTGCCAGTTATTCTATTGTCCTCCATACCACACACATACTCCTTCAGCACTGTATTGTGGATATTTTGAAGTGCATTGAAAGACAACTTGAAATACTTTTGAAGCACCAAACCAGAGAGTTGCTGTACTGTAACTGAAAAAAAAGAGTAAATAGTAACAGTTTAAATAATATTAAAGGTATTATATCAATAGAATAGATAGAGCACTGTCACAGGATAATAGTTCCCTGCTGCTTCAGACATGCCAAGGGAAAACCACTGAAGGCACTTACTGAAAATATATGTTAGTGTTATTAAACAGCTGCATTCAGATTCAGAATAAACTTGGTTTTCAAGCACTCAGAAATAAGTCTAAAATAAGTCTAGAATCTAATGTTGAATTGTGATTTTAAAAATAAACTGTTTTCTAAGTTGGTTAATAGTTTATCCACTGGTAACAGCATTCTGTCTAGGAATGTGCATCCATACAAACAAGGTCATGCACATATTTAATATTAGGGATGTCTTAAAAATGTCTTTAGTTTGGTTCGTGACCAAATTTAAGAGCTGTCTTGTGCTAAATCTTTTGATAATACAATATAGCCTATGATGTCTCTAAGCTGTATGCCATTTTACCTAAATGCTGAGAGTCTGTTAAATGAAGTGAAGGAAAAGGTTTTGAGGTGTGGATCTTGATTTCTCTCCTCAGTTCCTTCACTGTACTACTCCTCCCTTCAGTCCTTCCACTGATTTGTAGAATTCCCACATCAGTGCTTGATCTTTAACTGTGATGCTGAACTATGTTGAATGGGTTTTGTTATTGCATGGGTTTTGTTGGGTACCTCAATTACAAGACATAGAAAGCATTTTAGAAGCCAGTATAGGGCTGTATTAACAGTGCTTCAGATAAAGTTAAATCTTCTATTGTAATCCCTGTCTGGAATAATTTAAAGTTATATCTGAACTGTCTTTTAGTTATTTCCTAATAAGGATGTGACAACTCATTATAGGTTGCTGCAAATAAAGGCCCTCAAGAAGGAAGGTGAGGAGCATAGTGGGACATGGAATATAGCACACACGTTTGCTTTAAAGGCACAAAGCTGGGAGAAAAAAACTGTTCACAGAGAAAATATGAAGTAACTAACCAATTGCTCATCAAGAATTATGGGGGGGAGTGGGCGGGGGCAGAGCCTCAGGCCCCCCCATCCGTGCACACTCCCCCTTCCCTCCTGCTGCTGTGGTTCTGGGCCCACTCCCCCCTCCCTGTCACAGAAGGCCCACTCCTTCCCTCCCCTAGTCACTGCTGCAGCCACGTCAGGCTGGGCCTGCTGTTCCCCACCTGTCTCCCGACACAGTGGGCCAGCTTTTCCCCAACTTGGGCCTGTTTCCACCCCCCACACCTGCATTGGGCCTGGACAAACTCCCTCCCCCACCATGTTGGGCCTGGTCCTGGGCCTACTCCCCACCCTTGCATTGGGCCCAGGCCCACTGTGTTGGGCCCAGGCTCACTCCCCCACCACACACATTAGCTGGAGGGAACAGGGCTGGCCTCACCTTCCTTCAGTCTGCTCTGTTGCCGCCGCTTCCCCCCTCCCGCCGCTCCATCCCCTGTGTCCCCACCATCATGGCGGTGGGCTGCCTTCTGTCAGAATGCTTCTTCATGCTCTGATTGTCTGTTTGTCAGCCAATCAGAGTGCAAATAAAGCGTTATGGATGGACAGACAGACAGATTTAGGCTTTTATAAATTAGAATTTTAAGTGGGTGTGTTTACACATATATTGGATGCAGCATCAGTTTACTCGCAAGTAAATTGTGCTGGGAAAGCATCTACATGTGCAGGTAAGTGGGAGCAGATTTGCTGCCAATCTGCTCCTGCTTTCTGGGGCCCTGCATTGGGCCCCTGCTGCCACCAGGAGGAGCTCCAGGCTCCTCCTGCAGCTGCCAGCACCTAGCAGCTCTCTTTAAAAGCCAGCCCCACTTGCTGCTCTCTGGCCCGCTACTTCCCAGACCTGCCCAGGGGCCTGGAGTGGCTTCAGGCTCCCTGCTGGTGTGCTCCAGGGCTCTGAGTGCCTGCAGGCTTCTCTAAAGGCCTGAGGCAGTGCCTGCCGTAGAGGCAGCCCAGCCCTGGGGCAGGAGAGACTCCCAGCTCAGAGCCCTGGGGCTAGCCTCAAGCTGGCCCTCTAGTGGCAGGGCTGACCCAGGAGCAAACTTGCTCCCAGGTTGCATCTACACTTGCAAAACTGTGCAGTAACTAATTGCAAGTAAAGCATTTTTACTGCGCAATAAACATACACACGTGTAGATACACACACTTACTGCACAGTAAACTACACTGCTGTGCAGTTAAGCATCTCATGTAGACA